ATAACTAAATGGCCATGGCCAATGGCCAAATTGTGGTCAATACACTGTAAAAATGTTTCAAAGTTGTAAATAAAGATTATTGAAGTATGTTTTTACAAGAAAAGTATATACAGTATCTATGTAGTTTTAGTGCATCAAGTTAAGCTAAATTAAAAAGAGAAATGTTGCATTACTTGCTAAAATAAAAGGTTTATATATATACCAGTTTGCTTCTTTTAAAAAAATCTTCCACACAGACACATACAAAATGTCCCTAGTGCACAGGGTTTCCTCCCTTCTCCACAGGCCATGACAATAGCCCTCAGGACAGAGCAGAGAGACTCTGATAAGAATACAATAGGCCTGATGATTCCAGATAAGAATTTCTGGCCTTTCTGAGCGTCATTAGGCGATCTGTATGTGTTTCTGTGTCTTTCTTCCTATCCAACTTTATCCACTATTAATGATTTAAACAGAGATGAATTTAGAGGACAAGATTCAGATAAGAGCATGCTGCTTCTTTTCTAGTCAGACTGTTGTGTGAACAGAGAAAAGAAGCTGAAAAGAAACTTGAGGTCTATTTGCAGATCTACCAGGCAGCACATTGGTGCCTTGAAGTCTATACATTGGCCACTAAAGTTCCAGCCTCAAGGCGACAGAAAACAAATCACTGCTTGGCCAGCCTATTCACAGAGGTGAGCAGAGGCAGGGGAAGAAAGAAGAGGTGGTATTAAGGAAAGAGACACCTGTTTGAATGGCCGACTGCCCATGATCTTTTTTTTCTCTCTCTTTCATCCCAGCTTGTTTGGTTGTGGAGACAGCTGAAAAGACTATTATGGGGGAACAGAGTTGGTGACAGACCCTTATTAATTAAAAGCCATTGGAGACTAAGCAAAGATTAGCTGATTCACTGCTGCATTGAATTATAGGCCTACAGTTAAGAAGAAACAGTATAAGTGCTGCAGTCAATGAGAGACCGCTTGAAATTGTGAAATTGTGCTGCTCGTTTTGTTTTGTGTGCAAGTTCAAAACACAGAAATCCAGAAATCTTTTGTAATATAAATGTCTTATAAATATCTTCATATATATATATATATATATATATATATATATAACCTCCTCTTAAGTCAGCTGATGTTCACATTAGATTGAAAATGTGAGAAAATAAAAAAACTTAAGCCGGGTTTGTACAAAGTCATAAGTCATTTGTGGCATATTCATTAACACACACACAAAACATTTTTTTTTGACTGAGGTTGTGATGAGGCGTGTACATTTTTGGACAATTTAAAAGCAGAATGAAAGTAACAATTTAATGACATGAGACTAATAATTTCATAAAAGCATTTAAATAAATTTTATGTAAAAATTTGTGTATTATTTATTATTAAAATTTGTGAGCTGTAAATCTATATAAAATCTTTTTTTTTTTTTTCAATTACCCTCTGGCTGTATACTATTGAAAAAAGTTATTATTTTAATACCTTCAAATTCACTTTGATTCCTGTCATTCTGCAGAACAGAAAGGAAGATTTTTGAAGAGTCAATGTGGTCCATCATTTTCAAGCTCCAAAAAGACCTCAAACCAACATTAACATCAAACCACAGTGATTCTTGCATGGTACATGATCAATTGTCATCATTGCTCAATGTTTCATTGATCAGTGTTTTGATTTGATTAATAAAGGCTTACATTTTCATTTGTTATGTGACTTTAGAAGGCCACCAGGGTCATATGGATTAATTTCACAATACCTTTATATCCTTTTTGGATCTTCAAAATGTTGGTACCCATTAACTTACATAATAAGGACAAAAACACTGAAATGTTATTCAGAATATCTTCATTTGTAGATTTGCAGAGGAAAGAAAGCCATACAAGTTGTAAGTAACATGAGGGGGAGTAAATTATAACAGAAATTAAACGTTAGCGTTAGTTCCGGCAGGTCACGTGAGTCAAGCTTGCATCAGCTGATTCTAAATATCATTAAGTACATTAATGATATCTGCCTTGTTCTGTTCTGCTCTCCCTGCTCATTCATGACAGGCTGCATGGATGGGCAGGGAGGTTTTTGCCCAGAACAGAACCATACCACCAAACCAAACTTTATGCTAAGTATCTATCATTTTGACGATAGTGGTCCTGACAGAATTGTCATTTTTGGCTGAACTATTCCTTTTAAAATTCTGGAATGATATTCCATCTTAGTCTACTCTGTCTGCCTAGAAATCTGACTCTGGCTCGCTGAATGGGACTGAATTGTGTTGCAGGTCTTTGAGAGGATTAGACAGGCTGATCTGAGGACTGATATGAAACCCTCCTGTCTGTCATTTGCATCCTTTGTAGAAGGACATCCACTGCTCTGTGTGTATATGTTACTGGGGGTGGGGGGTGCGGGGGCTGCATGTTAAAGGAGTAGTTCACTTCCAATATGAAAATTCTGTCATCATTTACTCTCCCTCCACTTTTTCCAAACCTATATGAGTTTCTTTGTTATATTGAACACAGAAGAAGATATTTTGAAAAATGTTAGTATCTGAACAGTTGATGGGCACCATTGACTTCCATAGTAGGAAAAAAAATACTTCTTTCTTCAACAGAAGAAAGAAACTCATATAGGTTTGCAACAAGTGGAGGGTGAGTAAATGATGACAGAATTTTCATTCTGAAAGTGAAATACTCCTTTAAATGACCAACACACATACTAACAAATGTAAGTACACACTCTAAAGGCCACACATGAACAACACTGGCACATTTTGTATGTTGGGGTGGGGTCATTTCCTTAACAGACGTTTAACTCATTTTTGCCCTACATTTGGTTTAGCAGGTATCATAAAGTGTAGTCTCCTCTTTCCAGACAAGTGCTAGGGTTATTGATCATGAACCACTCCTATGTGAGTAAGACTGAAAGGGCCCCTCCCTTATAAATGGCAGCAGTTTTCAACTTTGGGACTGGAAACACAACTTGCACAATGAATTTGGGTTGTATTTACATTCACATTTATTCATTGAACAGACACTTTTATCCAAAGCAACTTAAAATTGAGAAAAAATACATGTTATATCATAATGTGCTTAATGAAATGCATGGTTTATTACAGTGATGTCTGGCAAATACAATGGAGCTAATTTGGAGTTAAATCTGCATTTGGCTCTAATTGACTGATAAGATTAATCTGATTCATTATATGTTCATTCTGTCTCACCAGACTCATTAAAAGGGATTACCAATGCAATATACAATGATCTGACTTGAACCTTTGTCAGTAACGAGTTACATCACCATAAAGTTGCAGATAAGTGTTGTGACTGAGGAAGGACCAAGTCATCCATTGTCCTCACCAGCTGGAGGCTAAGAAAATCTTGATTGATAAAAATAGAGAATATATATTAGAGTAAACACACAAACACACTTGAGGTTTCCGCTCTCAATGTGTCTCAGAGGTCCGACAGACTTCAGTGAACAGATGTTTGTCTGCTTATCCAGGTGTGCTTGAGTTTGTTGTTCATCTCTGAATGTTTACTGCTGATTTCTCATCTGAAGCAGTCTATGTCTCCCTGCCTTTTGTTGTTTCAACCAAGGTGAGGTAAGGTGTTGGCATATGCCCGTCTGTGTACATCAAACGTGTGTCTGGGTGTGGATGTGAATGCATATGTGTGAAAAGACTAGGGTATGTGGTATGCGACTTTGGATCAGTTTTTTTCACACTGATAGCGTGCGACTGAGTGTACCAAGTAAAACCGCAGCTTCCTGATTTTTCTCAGTTGTATACCTTGACTTATTTATTATATCAGATGTTATGTAACAAATCTTAAGCTAAAATTTCACACTATGGGGCACCTCAATCATCTCAAATCTGAATCGATTTAAACAATTTTTTACTTTGGACTTTTAAATGAATTATATCAAATTGCTGTTCTTTTTTATATATGTCTTTAACATGTTCTTGCTGTAGCACACATTTAATCTTGTTCCTGTTATATAACAAAATACTTAAGTTGTATGTACCCACTGAGTTACTGTTTTGAAGGTACAAACATTTGAGATGAACGGCATCACTGGTTTCTCTGTGTCAGTGGCGCCATCTTTTGGGCATAAATGTCTATTTGCTACTGCTCCATTCCGTCACATTTAAAAAAATAAAATAAAGATGAACTTTACAAGTGAATTCTATTATATTAATTATTCTATACTATGCATTGTGCTGTGCTGCTTTTGCTGGAAAATAAGCATTTATAAAAGATGGGTAAAACTGTTGTTTAGCTGTCGGCAGCTGCACTCACAGCCTAACCAGCTAAAAAACTAAAACTATATTAAAACAAGCAAACAGACCAGTCGGACCTTGCTGGGAGACCAGTTAAAACCAGCAAGTTGTCATCCTGAGTTCTGTTACATAAACATTTTAAAAATAAAACAATAATAATAAAAAAAACTTTTAACGTGAATTGTGTTGTAATATATTAAACATTCTATCTGCAGGCCTATGCATTAATCTGTACTGTACGCCACTTCTGATGGAAAAGAAGCATCTGAAGTCAGACTAAACTTAAAGATGGGTAAAACTGGTGTTTACCTGCTTGGCAGCTGCACTCTCAGCCTGACCAGCTGAAAAAAAACAAAACAAAAGCCTAAAACTACTACAATTAAAACCAGCAAACATACTAGTCTGACCATGCTGGATGAACTAAGATCAGCAAATCATTATTTTTAAAACAGGGTTATTGTAGCCTACTATATTGTGTATTTACATGAATCCTTTTAGCTGTAACTTTTAATCAAAGCAATTTACAATAGAGTAACACAACCACAAAAGGACTCCTTTTGCTATAAATTGTAGGCCTATTGTATGCTATGTAGTAGTCCTACAATAATTTTTTTCTGTGTCTAATTCCCCATAGGCGCAGTTTCACGTAGCCAATATAGTCTAACTTAAACATTATAACAAAAAGATATGAATATTTTCGTCAATCCATTGAGAACTGTCAGCTTGTGTCTGGGGCTGACTGTTCTTGCGCATGCGCTCTCGCAGCTCACGGGAATGACGTGCGTGAACGTTCCTATCGGTCCTCAAGGCAACGTCAGCGGGTAAGGAAATAAGATGCCCTAATAACAATTAAAACATATACACTCATATTTAACGAATGCACACTGTCATTTATCGGGACCCGAACTGTGGCGGTTTCGAACTGCAGACTGAAGTCGCTGAGTCACATTCGTGTTTAAGTTAAAAGGGTTATTATTACAGGGAAACGCAGCGCGAGCTCGATGACTCCTTGTCTTGTTTGGGATCCGGTAACTCTGCCTTTTTACAATATTTATTCGTTTACCTTCGCAAAGAGTCCTGTATACACTATGAATACATGGTTCAGTCTATTTGCTAAAAACAACGTAGCAGTTGTGTACAACAAAAATGCTTGAAAAATACAAGCAAGTGTGATAAAAGCAAGCAGGCTGCTTGCAACATTGTAACCAGACCCATACTGAGTTGGATGGATGGCCAGGAAGGTGTGATCAGAGAACAGCGTCAGCTCATAAACGCTAGATCTTAACATATCTGCGTATTTTTTGTGGAAAATTTTACTGATTATGGTGTATTTAGTGACAAAATTGTCAAACCACCTTTGAGATGATTTAAACACTACTCACTTAAACACTAGTGATGAGTTGAATAAATGTCAGGACAGGTGTTTGGTTCTTATTATAGTTTCTTTTGACTTTTGGATTTTGTGTTTTAAAAAAAAAAAATTATTTCGATGCGATATGTGTCATTGATTTTTGGTATTTTTGATCGTGAGAGACATGGCAGTCATTGTGAGAGCTAACAGCTGTTACCTCAAAAGAACAAAAAGACAGCAGTTTGCAAAGGGCCTTCCACTCATTTAGTATCAGCACTGAATTTCCTCAAAGCTCAGATTTATTTATAATTCATTTAAATTGTCCAGCAACACTTAATGTTTAAGTTTGAAATAAGTTCATTAATTTTTTATTGTATTTTTTTTCTCATTTTTGACATATTTATTTTGTCCAGTTATTTCAGTGTCTGCTGAATGCCATCGCTAGTAAGTAGTAAAATGTCCTATCTTTTTTTGTCATTATTATTATTATTTTTTTTTTAAAATAAACATAAATTTGGGGTTTGTAAAATTTATTTGATGCTCACCAAAACTGCAGTTATTTGATAAATACAGTAAATCTGTGTTGTTGTGAAAAATTATTAGAGTTTAGTTACATTTAAATCAACTAATTTCTATTTTAATATATATATATATATATATATATATATAATTTATTCCTGTGACGGCAAAATTGAATTTTCAGCATCATTACACCAGTCTTCAGTGTCACATGATCCTTCAGAAATCATTCTATTTGCAGATTTGGTGCTCAAGAAACATTTCTTATTATTATCAATGTTACAAACCGCTATGCAGCTTCATATTTTTTTAGAATTCGTGTCTTTGATTTATTGAAATAAAATCTAATTATGATAATAAATATTTGAAATAATAATTTGTGACATTATAAAAGATCAATTTAATGCTTTCTTGCTGAATAAATATGTTAATTTCTTAAAATAAATAAAACTTACTGAAGTAGTTATTGTGACCTAAGGCATGATACAAATTTCTATCCCATTTGCAGATTTAAGCCACACTTGTTAAGAAGATGGACAGCTATGGGTTTGTATCTTGACTTTGTCCCATGAATGTTACCCCTCCTCGTTTTAAATTCTGAATTTAAAAACATAAATGTCTGAAGAACATGGCATGTTGTTTCAGGTTCTCCAGTGACATGTTCAGTGGCCGAGCAGTTCTGGGGGAGGACAGCTCGGTCATGGCCCGAATGCAGAAGAAGTTCTGGAAGACCAAGCAGGTTCTGATCAAGGCCACAGGGAAGAAGGAAGATGAGCATGTGGTGGCCTCTGACGCAGACCTTGATGCCAAATTGGAGGTATGAGCACCCTTTTAAATGTAGTAAAATGACCTCTTTGAAGTCAGCTGTAGGTGAAACTGTAACGTCACTGGGCCGGGTTTTTCTTTCAATGATTGTGTATGACTCATTCTGTTTTTTTACATTTGAAAGCATATGACTTTTTTTTCCATTTGATGTGTGTGAGCCTGACAATGACTGAAATGACTGAATGAGATGGAAGGAGGTTAATGGAGTACTGTCACATGATGACAGGGAAGAGAGGAGATGAATTGAGCTCTAGATGATGCTGTACTATGATCAACTGTGCTTGATGTTCCCACTGTTTACAGACATCCAGTCCAAATGGCCCTGTCACTGTCTCTGTCTTGACTGCCTTTCTCTTATGTGCACACACACTCAACTGTGCTTCCTTCTCCCATTCTCTCTTTACATAATCAGAGAGTGCATTCCCTATGAATCTGTATGTCTGTTGTTTCACAGCAGTCCAAAACAGATTTAGGAATGATGCACAAAGTCACACATAGGTGACACAAACTCAACCATGCCATGTCAGAAATGAACAAGGTACACTACCGTTTTTAAAAGAAATGAATACTTTCATTCAGCAAGGATGCATCAAATGATCGAAAGTGATAGTAAAGACATTTACAGTATTATAAAAGATTTCTGTTTCAAATAAATGCAGTTACTTTGAACTTTCTAAGAATCCTAAAAAATGTTTTACGGTTTTCACAAAAATATTAATCAACACAACTGTTTTCAACATTGAAAATAGGAAATGTTACCTGAGCACCAAATCAAAATGTAAAATATACAAAAAAAATTTAAAAATTTAGTTTTTCTATATTTTTGGTCAAATAACTGCAGCCTTTTGAGAATAAGAAAAAAGTCATACTAGCCCCAAACTTTTGGACTGTAGTATACCTTTGTACTTTGTATGAGGACATATTTTTGCTACCATATGATACCCAAAGTGATATCATTGTATTTGCTTAAATTATATAAAGTAAAGTGTGTTTTTGTAACAATATCATGCATAAATTCTCCCATCTGACAGATAGCACTGAAATATGTGTCCTGAGACCACACTTTTCAGCACCTTTATTTATAAGTTGACTATGAGATCTCAGCCTTTAACTAGACGGACCTAAAATAAATATTATGAAATAACAGATAAATCAAACAGAAATTTACTATAGGGACATTTTGTCCCAAACCTTTGAAAAAAATTCAAATTCTGTCATCTCAATCTCATGTCATTCCAAACCTGTATGACTTTTGACTTGTAGGTTTGGAATAACATGAGGGGGAGTGAGTGATGATGACAGAAATGTCATTTTTGGGTGAACTATCCCTTTAAGTATTTGAGGCATTAGTAGCCCAAGCCTTCGTTTTGTTTTGATGTTGCACTCTAGGTTTCAGGATCTGAATTCATAAACAGTGATTTTATTGAGCCTGGATTTATTTGAACATGAAACTCGACATGAAATGCACTGGCGCAGGGAAACTCTGGAGGTCAAATACAAAGCCTGGAAGTGTTGTATTTGGGTGGTTGTATGTGTGAGAGATAATCTACTTTACATTAGATGACATTTGGTTAGTAGTTAGCTTTTATAAAAGAAAGTAGCTGATTACTTGGAATCAAGACCTAATGAAAATCCATAGACCACTCACGGTTTAAGGAAGTATGTGTGTGTTTGCTTATGTGTGCTTGTCTAATCTTGCCCTGCCTCGGGCTGTTACACTTAAGCATATCCTGGTTTACTGGTCATTAGACAGTTTCCAATGTGGAGGAGAGCAAAAGACAGGCCACCGTAAGCCCCCCGGCTGCTTGCTTAATGAACAGGTGTATCCATGTTCTTTCTCCTTTGAGCCACAGCTGCCATTATGATCATATGAATTGGCTTTTAGACCGTTTGGAAACAAAGCTCTGTTTCCTCTTAACTTGAAAACAATAATGCATCATCCTTATGGTGCGAAATGATGGAATTTTATATTGGTAAATTCAATAACCGTGTTTATTTAGGAGAGCCTGTTGTACAAACCAGGTTCCTGAGGGTGTTGTTCTTGCATGTTTGTCAGGCCTGTGCTCAGAGTTAAACAGTAACCTGAATGCAGAGCTCACCTGCAGGGGTCACACCTTCATCAGCACACATGGACCTTAGTCTGGCTGGATGCCGTATTTAATTTGATGCACATGAATATACTGTATTAATACAAAAAATGACCCCAGTAATAGATTTCACCAATAATTTTGGCCACTTTCCTGAAATAAGATTTTTTTTTCCCCCCAGACTACGATTATTTGAATACTTTCTTTACAGACCTGCTTAAATACAGCAGTTGCGAAGGCTTAAGGCTGATAACCGGAAAGTTGCTGGTGTGAGCCATGAACTATCACCATTGTGCCCTGTAATAAGTATAATGCAGGTCGCTGTGGATGACAGCATCTGTTAAATTACCATCTGTTTGGGTTCGGTAAGATTTTCAGCTTTGAATCTTGTGCTCACCAAGGCTGCATTTATTTAATCAAAAATACAGTAAAACCAGTAAGATTATGAAATATTATTTCAATGTAACATAACTATTTTCTATATTAATATAAAAATTTCATAGATTTTAAAATTTATTTCTGTGATGGTAAGTTGAATCTTCAGCAGCCATTACTTGCTGATTTTCTGCATATCGTAACAATCATAACAATCATTTGTTATTATCATTGTTGAAAACAGAAAATAGAAAGTTCAAAAGAACAGCATTTATTTGAAATAATGTAACATTATGAATGTCTTTGCTATAACCTTTGATTAATTTAATGCATCCTGGCTGAATAAAAGTATAAAAAATAAAGCAAACAAAAAAAAATTATTGACCCCAAACTTGAATGGTTGTGTGCCTACTGCTATTCTGAAGGTTTTAGAATGCAAGTTCTAAAATATTTTCTATAGCCCAGTGTTTTCATCCCACTGTTAAATGCTGGAAATGAGTCCTGTTCCTATATTTAGCTTCTCACAAGCTCTTGAAACTCTCTCTAGAACAAAGGCAGCTCAACCAGAATGAGTCATTTATATTATTTGTCATTTCTGTGAGTTACTTCTTCCAGGTAGAGCACAAGTGTACACATTCTCCTGCTCGCTTGCTCGACTGTCAGGGACTTAACATCCTTTGTTGCCATGACAGCGAGACAGGAAAGGCAATTTTTTTTGTGTTCTAATGTGTCTGTTTTTTTCTTCCTTTTTTTGGAGACGTTTGTGTGGGTGACCAAATGTTCCGTCTGAGTATATAGATGCTAAAGGAAATGAAAGTATCAGAGATATTTTGGCGTGTTGCAACAAAATCAGAAATGCTGCTTCTGTAATAAAAAACTAAAATAATAAACTATCAAATGCATTTGTTAATGATAATGTGTGTTCTGGTTTCCTCCAGTTTTTCCGTTCAGTCCAGAGCACTTGCACAGAACTCCTGAAAGTGATTGAGAAATACCAGCAAAGAATCACACGTGAGTGAGGAACATGATCTTCCACCCTCTTTGTGTGCGCAAACACAAAGAGTCTTGTTCAGCTTGTTTTGAAAGCCTTTGCATGCAGTGGCATACATATTCTTAGTTTACATGATGAATACTGTTATTGAGACAAAAGTCAATTTTAAGCATAACTCTGTGTGTTTTTGTGGTTCTCATAATTGATAGCTTTCAACACATATAATCAACCCACTTATTGTTTCTAATGCTATGAGTTACTGTTGTGGTAATAACCCTGTTTTTGCCTCCTGTGACCTCCTCTCTTCAGACCTCTCTCAAGAGGAGAATGAGCTCGGACTGTTCTTGCGCTTCCAGGCAGAGCATGATAAAACAAAAGCAGGCAGTATGATGGGTGCCACCAGTAAAGCTCTCTGCTGTTCTGCCAAGCAAAGGTACGCACTCACCTACAAATATGAACAAATCAGGACTTCAGGTCATTAATGCAGTTAATTTCATGATGGTTAATATGTGCATATGTCATTATTAATATATCTCAGTTAGGGAATGGTCATGATGGTTTATTAATCAACTAGTCATCCAAAAACTGAGCAGTTAGTTCAGGGTCAGTGGAACCTGAGACAAGCCTTATTAGGCAGTTGATCATGCAACCTACATTTTTGTTATTGAAAATCCCTAGTTTCACACTAAAGACGCACTAATTAGGAAACCCATAATCTTGGATGTAACTTCTCTATCCTTGCATGCTACTCTCACTCAACAATCATCGGTAATTAATGATTAAGTCATTGGCAACTATTTCTCTGACCTCTGTCATGTCCAGGTTGGCTCTGTGTGCCCCTCTCCATCGTTTCGAACAGGAAGTGGAGACGTTCCGGAGGAGAGCCATCGCAGACACCCTGCTGACCGTGAGCCGGATGGAGAAAGCACGGACTGAGTACCGTGGAGCTCTGCTCTGGATGAAGGATGTCTCACAGGAACTGGACCCAGATACTTATAAACAACTGGAGAAATTTCGCAAGGTCAGACTATGCAAAGCGAGCAATCAAAGGGGGGACTAGCATCTGTATACATAGAGGTTCGAGTGTCTGCTATATGTGTGTGTTTGCGAACAGGTTCAGGCCCAGGTTAGAGGAACAAAAGGGCATTTTGATAAGCTGAAGAATGACGTGTGTCAGAAAGTGGATATGCTGGGTGCCAGTCGCTGCAACATGCTTTCACATTCCTTATGTACTTACCAGGTAAAAATGTGTAACACTTATTTCCTTCCACCTGTTATTGCTTATTAAACCCGTTTCACTCTTATTTCTGAAACCTTTTCTTATCCTGTATTGTTTTTCTGTAGACAACGCTTTTACAGTACTGGGAGAAGACTGCACATGTGATGTCTGGAATCCATGAGGCCTTCAAAGGATATGTACCCTACCAGTTCACTACCCTCAAAGTAGGTGTCCATGCACAAATGCCAAAAAGTAAACCGTTGTCATGAGATTTAAGCTCTCATTTGACTACATTTGACTCATTACAGGAATTGAGGGACCCACTGGACCAGATTGTCTCCGCACAAGCAGCAGAGGACAGCAAAGACGAGGACAAGAAGACACATCCAGACAAGTGAGAACACAGTTAGACATGGGCATGGTTTGACCATGAACCAGCCATTTTGCCATTTTCAGCTTTATGTACATATGTGTGCAATATACATCACGTGGTCAGTGAATCTCACACAGACAAATCTAGAAGTCTCGGTTTTCTTCCTTATTCATTCTTTGTCATCAACAAAACCTACCTTTCCCCTTGAAGGCCCCCTGCTTGCCTCTCATTGTCAGATCTCTCATTCACTCTTTTTCCTCATTCCCTGCAACCCTCTGTCTCCCTCAGAATGGGTCTCTTCAGGCGAGAGGCCTTTTTGAAGGCTCTGGTTACTGATCTGTGAGTGGAACATTGTAATTCTATTAGAAACTCCTGCAACTTTTGTGAAGGAAACACTGTTTAAAGTTCCACTGTCATGAAACCGTGTATTTATTTCTGTGCCATCTGTGACATGCTGTTGTACGATACCGTGTCGACCGTTAGACCCTCACTCGCTTCCTAGAAATATCACTGTGACTCACTCCAATTTGTCAATTTAGATCTAATTCAAGGTGTTTTGTAAATCTGATACGGTGTCATAGTAATGTGAATCACCTCTTCTCATCTTAGAAAACTGCATCCATTTAGTCATGCATCATTGTGTCAGTTTAATTTGGTGTTTGTATGTTTATGTTTCAGTCTTGTTTCACTTGAAGATGAACAGCTGGATGAATCATCCGATACTGGTATGTTCAGCTTTTAAAGCACATTTTGGGAACACACCCAGTCCAACTACAGTCCAACTAATGATTGTCTACTGGCTCAAGTTTCTTTAAAAGATGCTCTTTCTTTCTGTTGTTAACAGTTTCTACTCGTGCAGTAGATGGACAGAGTAGAGGATCTGACAGTTCTTTGTGTGCCAGTCTGGACTCTGGTAAGTTGTGTGTTTGTGTGCATATGCATAGTTGCATACTTGGCCTTGCACCACAACTCATTGCTACTAATCAACTAGTCATCGAGAAATGTAGTCGAACTAGATAGAACTAATCAACTTTTTGTATAGTCAGAGCAACTCCTAGTTTGTTTGAGCAGCTTTTATTTACAGTATGCCTTTTTGTATCTCTCATCTTCATTTCCACCCCTGTACTGCAGTGTTGAATGAACAATTAGGCCCCATTGGTGGAGCTAGCACAGATGACGACCTCTTATTATTGACCCCTGAGCCTGGCCCGATCCCTTCTCTCACTTCAACCTTGATCCCAACCCTACACCCATCCATGTCCGTTATGCAGCCTCAGATACCGCAGGAGGCCTCAATGCCTCCTGCTATTCAGTGGGGCGTAGGCGTCTCACATGAGGAAATGCAAGATGCCTTACCCAGCAGTCTTCCACCTAAAATAGGTATAAATGCTTGACTGGGCATCTCTTCAATGCCCAGGCTCCCTTAGCGCCTGTTCTTACTCTCTAAAATCAATCTTAAACCCCCCTTCAGATGTGCTTTAACACCTTGATGTATCAGTTAGGTTCCATAAGAATTATTCAGAAACTTTTTTATGCATACAGTTAGATTCCCTTCTCCACTGTAAAACTCTCCAGGTGTTTCTGACCCTGTCTCTGTAAAACTTGTAAAAAGCATTTCTAAAAACTGTACTTTCCTCAAGGTTACTTTCTTTGACTTTTCCCCCATCTTTTTATGCTCTGTTTGATTTTTATGGTCCTGGAAGATTTTGGGGATTTCTTTTTCATATTTTTGAAACTTAAATTGACTGATTTGCTTTAAATTGGTGATGAGCTAATATTTCTGTTAATGTTTATGCTCTTATGTTTTGATTATGCAACCATGTGTTTCTTGAAGCCTCTCTCTGATCCTTTTTACTGCCACTTCTACTACACTGCAAAAAAATGTCTTCCTCCATATTTTTGTAAAGCAAAATAACATGAGATAGCCTTATTTACATAAAGAAAATGCATCAAAATTAAGTGAGCTTAAGCTAAAAACAGACATTGGGGTAAGAAAAATAGATTTGTTTTTTCCTTTGAATTAAGTTTAGAAGAATTTTTATTCTCTTGTTTAAAGCTTAAACTCACTTAATTTAGATACTTTTATCACACCTAATATCTGATGTCATTTCACTTCTCAAGATATCAAGTCTTTTGATAAATTTATCAAAATAATGTCAGTTTAGGCCATTGTGGCAAGAAAAATAAATACATTTGTTTTTCCATTGAATAAAGTTTGTTTTTCTGACACCACTGGCAGATTTTTTTTTCTTGTTTTAAGATTAAACTCACTTCATTTTGATACATTTTAAGTGAGTTTAAGCTTTTAATCAACAATTCAATTTAATTAACTTAATTTTAATTAACTTTTTTTGATTGAAATTTTGATAAATTTTTCAGAAAACAAGACTTAATATCATATATAGTTTGCCTTCCAAAGTAAGTGTTTGTTGATTAAAGTAAATTGAAGTAAATGTTTCTTGATTAAAGAATGTTTAGATATTTGTACCAGAAAACAAGACAACAGTCCTGAGGGAGCAATTCACTTTTTGCGGTGTAAAAAGCCTCATTATCTTATTTTTATTGTAGTAGGCAGGGACCTGTTGTCTGAGGCTCTAGACTCTGCGGGGGTGAAAGAAGAGGAGGGAGAGAGAGGTGACCTGGCCTTCCTGCAGGATCTGCTGAGTCCTGGGGCTGCGGGTGGCGCTAGTGAGTTCAGTAAGGCATGGCAGGATGCTTTCGGCTGTTTTGAGGCCCCTCTTGCTCCTGTTGCTGCTGCTTCACCACAAGCAGGAACGGCAAACACACCCACTGGCTTCCTGCCATCACAACTCCTGGACCATAGCCTCAGTACCACAGGTTTGCCCTCTACTGGCTGGAGGAATGAACAGCACAGTTTCGTTGTGCTACTATTCAGTGCAGTCAATGCAATGTTCATATTCATTTTCTTTCTGTTGTTCATATTTATTCAGGATGGGCGACTCCACCTATGTTTCAAGCCCCGCCCCTCCAGCCACCTTCCAGTGGAGGACAGCCTACCCAGAATAGTCCAAACTCTTCTACCAGTAGTGGTGGGAGTTTTATATGACATGTCAAAAATTACAGATGGATATGGACAATCTCAGATGCTCTTTTTCTACTGTTTCTGTTGTGATTCGTCTCTCTGTGTCTTTTTAGCACCTAAAGGAAGGTCCAGGGACATGTCTGCCTGGTTTAACCTCTTTGCAGATCTGGACCCTCTGTCTAACCCAGATGCTATTGGGCGCAGTGATCAGGAGTTCCTCAATGCCTGAGGTGTGTTTTTGTGAGTTTGTATATATTTATCATTGACAAATAATTCCCAGGTTTATAGAAATGTACCGTTTATTTTGGTTTCAGTGTTGATACTGTTAAGTAAAACTATTAAATGTGACCCGTGCTGGCAAAATGAGTCGGAATGCGCACGGGCTAATTTTGAGCTACAGGCAAAAACAGTGAAAATTTTCGATTTTGAGGTTTTTACAAAAATTAGTTAATTAAGCCCTCGTATAGCAATCCCAATGCTCCAAATAATAATTTTAGATGTTTAATTACCTTTATTTGTACGTTTTCTGAGAGGGGTACCTTTTCTCCGCTCGCTTCTCGACTGTCATCCGAAGGCGCTTCCGACTGCGCGATCCCAATAAATATACACAGAATTACAGTATTTAAGTATTCACACAAACATAATCTGTTATGTCTTAAGTGAACGTTTGGGGAACTGTTGGGGAAAAACATCTGATGTGTAACATTATATTAGATCCGTGCATTACAGTAGGTATTAATATATTGGACGTCTGTCTCATTAATGATACTCTAACAATAAAAGAAAAGAGCGAATCACTCGCTGCTCTTGATTGAACTGCTTTTGTAGTTTTAATAATCAATTTATTTGTAATGAACACACTAAAGGGATTTTTACATTTGATTATTTGTTTTTCTTGAATGCTTCTGTTTAGATGTAAAATGAAAAAGGTAATTCACTATTTGTTTTTTTTCTTATATTTTTTTTGCATCTATTCTTATTTATAATAACAGATAAAATAAAAATATAGCTACATTGTACGGAGCCCCGCACATGGCATGCAGGAAAAAAATAGTAGGCTAAATCATGTGCACGATTTACTATTTCGTTCCCTCGATTTATAAATTGTGCTCACAATTTACTAATTCGTTCCCTCAATTTGCTAAGTCGTGCACACGATTTATAAATCGAGAGAACGAATTAGTAAATGTGCACGATTTAGCAAATTTAGGGAACGAAATAGTAATCGTGTGCACGTTTTAGTACATCGATAGAACGAATTAGTAAATTGTGCGCACGATTTAGCAAATCGAGGGAACGAAATAATAATCGTGTGCAGGTTTTAGTACATCAAGGGAACGAATTAGTAAATCGTGTGCACGATTTATTTATTTTTTCTTGCATGACGTGTGCGGGGCTCCGTAATATTGTGGAGGAAAATCCCAACATACTCATGAGGAACTTCAGGGACTGTTGCATTTTGGTTGCAAGTACAAGATTTTGATTTGATAGAAGTTTTTCCGATCATTTTTGTTAAAATATTTTTATTTATTTTGCCAACTACTTTTTCAGTGCTGCTTTTTTCTTCATTATGAGGACAGTTGTAGTACTCTAACACCGTGACAGCGCCGCAGCAGCTAAAGTCTGTCTACACTGGACGCGACAAAGCGACCGTTAAAAATCATTTGAAATTTGTGTCAATACGTCATAAATAAAACGCAGCAGCAGTTTTCTGTCTGGGATTTGTCGTGTCGATTCAGTGTAGACAGCATCACTGATTATAATGAGTTCTATTGTATTTTGTCGCGCCGCGCAAGCTCGCGTCCTGTGTAGACACGGTGTAACATTTTTTATTTAGCCTGCATGCTCTTCAAAAAATGATAAAGGAATTTGAGTTCAAAAATGAAAAATATGCTCATCATAGAAGCACGTTGTATGTGTGAATTGCAGTTTTAATGTATTTTGAATATTAGATTCATTCATGTGTCTACTCATACAATGCTCCATGTTTCAGTTGTAAATATGGCTTTACTTATCATGAGTAATCTTGTGTTGCAAAAATGAGATTGTGCATGTCACAATGCAGCCTTTTACCTCTCTCAGTGAAGGATGGTATGGAGCTGATCGCTTCCCAAATATTCTTTGCCGGAAAGGAGTGCATATCCCAAGCCTTTATTCGGAGCTGGAACACTACCTCTCCTGAAACCGTTCAACCTGAGCCAAGGAAGCATCCAGAAATCTCTATCCATATCCAACACTGAAAGGTTTCTGAGATATGGGAATGTCTCTCTTTTCTCCATTCTTTCATTGTGTGCGTGAATTTACTGTATGTTCATTAGGTCAGGACACCGAAGGGTAAAATGTTGAAGACTTCATCTCTATATCACTATAGTGTTGTTACCTGAGAGTAAAGTATCAGTTACTTTCTGAAGTGCACATGTTTAAAGGGACTTGAAGGGGAGAATTTGCCCGTCTTGTATGTGGGGGGGCTTAGGACTTAGGACCAAAAAAAAGAATAAACCTGCGTAAGTGTGTGTATATCAGTATGCTTTGTACAACAGGGGAGTTTTAAAGTCCAGAAACAGGGTTACAGATTTATAACACCTATTATAGATTATAGACTGTATTTTTAATCAAGATTGATACCCAAAATGTGTGAAGTTGCGTGTAAATAACAAAAAATATTTTTGGAGTCTCTTTCACTGGATTAGTTAAACCCTAAATGATCAAGTAAATGAAATTATTTATTAATATAATAAAAGTGTTACTGTAAACTACATATGCAAGTCGTGTGCTGTGCCATTAGTTTGGTTGGAATGAGGTCGTCACATTTTAATGAAACTAATCATAGGTGATGCATCTTGTTTTCAGTGACAAAAATGCTGAAACACTCTCACGCAGAGAAATAACTTCTCCCAAATGATCTTCACTGTCACACTGTGATGCAAAACACTGGAATGCGTTTGTGAACATGTTTTTGTATGTGATTTTATTTCATATGTCACCTTTAGCACAGAATTACATAAATATCCTACTTTAGAAAACGTTACATTTTATCCCAGATTATCATGTTTGGATTCATCAGGAGTGACTATGAAATTATGACCAAATGTTTTTTTTGTTGTTTTTTTTGCATTAAAGAAATGCACTAAACTGTCTCTGAGTCCAATCTCGGATTGTTCTAGAACAGTGTTTCTCAACCCTGGTCCTGGGTGCCCCCCAACCCTGCACATTTTGTGTGTCTCCCTAATCAAACACACCTGATTCAACTCATTAGAAGTAACTCCAGGACCTGAAATGGGTGTGTCAGATAAGGGAGACATACAAAATGAGCAGTGTTGGGGGGCGCCCAGGACCAGGGTTGAGAAAGCAAATGTGCTGTTCTAGAATGTATGTTGTCTGCTTTATGCATAGACATATTCATTGGTCTGAATAGCTTTGTCTAGCTGTCTAGCTGTACATTTCGCACAGGATTTCACTCCATATTCAGTGGAGCGCATCTTTTTGTCTTTGAGTGGTTTAACATTTTGAAGTGTCACTTTATGTATTAGAGAAATGTTGTGTTTGGAACTACATGTTAAGATGTTATTATATGACTTGTTTTTTTTTTTTTTTTACTTTGAAAGAAAAAGAATGTACACCACACCATTCTCAGCTGCTTTCATCTGTTTATTTTATGCAACTTTGCCTTTTGTTTCAGTTAAATGATGGAAACTGGACTGAGATCTTGCATCTGAGAGCAAATAAATTTGAGTAGAATTCTGTTTCTGATTGTTATTTCTCTCATTATTGGTCAATATAATCAGTTCTCATATGGCAAAATTTTTATTTTTATTTTATCCTTTCAAGAAAACAGTTACACCCATCTTGAAGTTTATTCACAGAAAGAAAAAATCTTATCTTTTTTTTTGAAAAACAGGCACCTATCTAATTTACACACGTCTCTATTTCAATTCAGTATTAAGGCAATTACATACATTTTGTTCAGGATTGCCCATTTTCTTTCAACTTTTTTTTTCTTTTTGTAAGAAAGGAAGATTTACGGCATGATTAATGGCATATTTCACAGTATAAAGATGCTACAGTTCAAATCAGTACATTTTCAGTTCACTATTAGCTAAAGCCATGCCTCCTTTGAAATTATTTGCATCCCTTTTCTCGCTGATATTCTTTCATATCCAGTGTATTCTGATAGTCTGCTCCATTTTCCTTCACGCTATTGAAATTACAGTAATGACACCTTTCAGTTGAACTAATCTTTAAATTTAGCAACAAAACTGAAAAGTGCATCATAATCATAATACTGTCCAGTGCATTTGATCGATGTCTCCTCCTAATCCGTGTTCAGGCTGCTCGTGTACCATCAAAACCTCCTCTCACCAGCAAATCACATTAAGCACATACAGGTTACGTATATGGGGAAGGGCTCTATACATTTAAGGGTGCCAGACTGGATGTAGGGGTCAGACGATGATAGAAAAAAGACTGTAAGCAAATGGGGTCCTACAGACAGGTGGGAGTCGGGCACATTTGTTAGTCCTCCTCAAATCTGCTACAACATTTCTGGTTACTCCAGCACTATTCAAACTGCATTTAAACTATAAGCTAGCAAAACTGACCTAAAACCTCAATTTCTCTAGTAAATCAAATCACTTACATGTACACTACAGGTCAAAAGTTTGGAACGGTTAAGATTTTGAATGCTTTTGAAAGCAGTGTCTTATGCTCACTGTTGCATTATGTGATTAAAAATACAGTAAAAACAGCAGTCTTGTGAAATAACATTACAATTTTTAATGTGTTTAATAAAAAAAGCAAAAAATCCTGTGATAGCAAAGCTAAATTTTCAGTGGCCATTACTGCAGTCTTCAGTGTCATGTCATTGTATAGAAATCATTCTAATCAAAGACTATAGAAAACTTAAAGGGACTTTGTTCTAATATGCTGATTTGGTGATTATTTTTTTATCAGTTATTACTGGTACTCAATTATTATTAATAGTTTTTAATGTTATCAAAGTTGGTAACAATTTTTGCTTAATATTTTTGTGGAAATCATGATAAATTGTTTTCAGGATTCTTCAATTAATTAAATGTTTTTTTTTCTTCGTTTGTACCATTATACATTTCTTTAGTCACTTTTGATACATTTAATGCATCCTTGCTAAATAAAAGTATTATTATTACTTTAAAATCTTACTCAACCTACATTTTTTAATGGTCATGTATAACGATTTCCATTTTCCACAAAAATATTAAGCAGCAAAAACAGTTTTCAACATCAATAGTAATCAAAAATGTTTCCTGAGCATCAAATCAGTATTATTTCTGAAAAATTCAGCTTTGCTATCACAGGAATAAATTACATTTTAAAATAGATTAAAACAGAAAACATTTCTTTTAAACTGTAATAATATTTCACAATTTTGCTGTTTTTACTGTATTTTTTATCAATTGGTGAGCATAAGAGACTTCTTTCAAAAACATTTAAAAAAATCTGAATTATTCCAAACTTTTGTGTAGGTTAAAGGATGCAGCTATACATAAGAAAATTCAAAGGCTTTATGGTAAAATGCAATAAAAAAATTCAGCTTTGCTATCACAGGAATAAATTACATTTTAAAATAGATTAAAACAGAAAACATTTCTTTTAAACTGTAATAATATTTCACAATTTTGCTGTTTTTACTGTATTTTTTATCAATTGGTGAGCATAAGAGACTTCTTTCAAAAACATTTAAAAAATCTGAATTATTCCAAACTTTTGTGTAGGTTAAAGGATGCAGCTAGACATAAGAAAATTCAAAGGCTTTATGGTAAAATGCAATAAATCGTTGAGTAAAAAGTAAAAAGCAGTGCAATACTAAAAATGTTTCCTTTAAAAAAAAACCTCCTTTCAATCCTCCTTTTACAAGTAATACCATTACCCTTAGATAATCAAAAAAAAAAAAAACCTCATATTCAAGTTTCAGACAGATATCGCTTGGAGCTGTTCAGAACCGGTTCTAAAATCCTAACAAAGCTCTGACTCTATCAGATGATACAGGAGTGTGGGAAAAATGGCATCTCTGTTCATCAGCTGAGGTTCTTCTGTTCAGTTTTAACCCTCTGGCTCCTCAAGATGTCGTGGGAGACATGGTGACTGACGTCCACGGGACAGGACAGGACCCATGGAGGGGGACAGGCTCCTTACCGCAACCCCACCCAGAGGCACCAAGGAGGGGGAGATGCTGCGGTATCCCACCCCGCTACGGAAGTTCAGCTCCTGGGTGGGCAGCAGAGGCTTCAAGATGCTCACCAGGCAGAAAGCAGAGCCGCTCTTGGGAATGAAGTTCACCTTGTTTCTGTCTGGGCAGAGATATGGAGGAATCTCCTGGAGAGGCCTTGGCCTGGAACAAAAGATGGAAAGACCAGGTCATGGCACTTTCGTGAGAATGTATCTTTCATGCTGATAAGAATATGAATGTGACACATTTCATTTTTATGTGAGGAAACCTTTATTACAAAATAACCAAGTCTTGACATTTTCTACGCATGGAGTACAAATGGGTGTACCATTACTTTTTTCAGTCCAAGGTCTCATCTCAGCGGTTCTTTTATTCAATCTTTAAACGTCTGTTGTACACAGATTGCAATATTGATTATGTTTGTCAAGCTCAACCATTCAGCTTTGTTGCAGCGTTCAGCCACATAAGAAAAAAAAAAACATGCTTTGATGAATCAGAATTATGACATACTCATAAATATGAAAAAAAAATTTTTTTTAATTGAGATAAAAACTTAATTATGACATAATAAATGCTATAAAAAGTCATAATTATGAGATAAAAAGAAAATTATGACAAAATTTACATTGAAATAAGTCAATTATGACAAAAATGTAAATTTTTTGTCATAATTTTGACTTTTTTGTCACAACTATGACTAATCTCATAATTATGACAATGACTAAGACTTCTCATCATTTTGACTTTTTTCACAATTATGATTTTCTCTAATAATTATGTATTATTATGTCATAATTTTAACTTTCATCTCATATTTATGATTTAGTATGTTATAATTTTGACTTTTAATGTCATAAATTATGATTTACCAAAGCAAGGTGAAACTTGGCTTCCATTTCGAGAAACATGATCAAACAAATATTTGCTTTTAATTTATGGGAAATTTTATTAGTGACTACAAACATTTGATTCCATCCAAACTAGCTCCTCCATAATTACTGTAATTATAGCTGAATCTACAACCCCGTTACCTCATTTTCTTAAATATAATTGATTTCTAAATTGATTTTAATTTATTTAATATCTTCTGTTTATTTATTTTTGCATTTTTTGAACATAACAAAATCGCTCATTTTTTAACTGTATTCAAAACAAATTTTGGTAATAGGGTTGAAAAATACTAACATCATTTGAAATAAATACAAAATAAAACAGATGAGTTGGACAAATGACATTTTCTAAAAGTACAGCACCACCTTCAACTGAATCTGTGTTGAAAATGAAGAAACACTGATTTAATTTTAGAGTTTCAAACCCTATTTTATACTTTATTCATGGGTAAAAGACCTTACTCCAACGAACAGGCAAAATGTCTACAAAGCGCTTACTTACTGGATTTCTTCAAAAGCTTTAACTCTCTCACAGCCCTCCGGAGGCTCACGTTTGAACATATAGCTGTTGTTGGGCTTTGGAGAGGAAGCATATTTGGGCAGAGGGGACCAAGGTCCCAGGTCTAAGACAGAAAAAGGAATATTTATGATTCAAATAGTTCGATTTTAGGTTATTGTGTGATGATGATGATGATGATGATGATGGTGATGCGTGTGCTTCTGACCTCTTTCTTTGCTCTCGTTTAGCGTGTCATCGAGCGGGCTGTTTCCCACTGTGTCGTTGAGGATGCTGAGGTACGAGGGTGAGACAGAGTCAGCCCGGCTGCTGCTGTTGCTACGGTTACTGCCGAGCCCGCCGTTGGAGGGCGTCTGTGTGTCAATACTGCGTGTGCTGCTGCTGCGCTGGGGGAGGGGAGGGGGCGCACGGTGCCCATCAGGAACGTCCTGAGGCTAAAACACATATGCACATTTGCTTAATTAGGATGTGTAGGACAAAAGCAATTCTTTTCACTGGATTCCACTAAACATCACATTAGTATTGATTGTGCACTGATCCCTATCCACCTTTTTCCTAATGAGGATGCTGCTTTTTAAATTATGGGAGGCACTTCTGGTTTGGAGAAGTACTGTTCAAAATCATTTCAAATCATAAGGTTGTGCTACAAACCATCTATATCCATCAGTCTGACTAAATGAGATGTACATTTTCCTTCATGTTCTATTTTCACACATCAGGAGAATAACATGATGCTTATTTTTAATCTGACAGGGTATAAGCTCTTTTTTCTCCTGATTATTATTTCCTTTGTATTCCACTGTAACTATACGAGGAAAAAAAACCCCAATAAAAAACAACAACAACATAATACTGTCCCCCTACATGATATATCCCATGAATAATTCACTGGAATGCACCAAAAAATTTCTTGTTTTTCTCCCCAAATCCTTACGTTTCTTTCCAATTTTTTTCTCTCTCACATGGATGCTTTAAAATGTAATTGTATCCCCATTAAAAGTGTTTACTGGATTGTTTGTAAAGCAAGTAAATATAATAATTATTAATTATCAATTTGAAATATTATCACTCAATATTCCAGTTAATGAACATTTTTGATTAAGGCAATTTATGCTACATAATACAGACATACAGTATATTACTACAGTGCTATTTAACAAATCTGTAATATTGCTGCGGAAATAATCAAGCTTTTGGGGTTATTCATGGTCTGTTCGGTTGTAGTAATTTGATAATAATTTTACATTTTTTTACATTTTTAAATTTCCTTTTAACGATCGATGGTTGAAGGGTGAGTAGAATAATGTCACCTTGATATGAATAAATAAATAAAAGAATCAACTAAACAATTACACTTGCAACAATTACATTCAGAGAAAGTACATTCTTTGTGCCCAAAATGAGCCTAAAATGTGAATATTTTAAAGATAGGAAAGATCTGTTTCCAAAAGCACAAACATAAAATAACATTTGAAAAGTTAAAAAGTAGTAATTACTGTATACATACACAATACAATTACAAAATGTTAAAACTATAGTTTTATTTATCATATGTTCTCATGTCTATTTTGTTTTCATTTTTATAATGTGTTTTTGTAAAGTCATAATTTGTGTTATAATACTGTTTTGATCTGTTTGCTATTTGCAGTTGTTATATTTACTATTTTTCATAGTGTGAACTATATTAGAACCAGTTTGACCCACAAGAATCCTAATTATTAATTATAATAATAGTATATGGAACCCACGCACAATTAAAAAAAAAAAACTTTTAAAAAACCATACAAAAATGTATTGTCCCCATTTTTAAATTCATAGATATTCATATTAATATACTTTGACCACTTAACTAGGAAAAGTCCCTGGTTTCCATTTCAGAAATCTTACTCTATAGTTGTTGAAAAAATAGTTGTTGAGATGCACTCACTACTATGATCTCATCTCGTTCCACAGTGTCCCGTATGATGATGCGTTCAATCTCCTGGTTGAGCCCCTCTATGCTGTTCCGAAATCTGGGAGGTGTGGACTTAGAGATGGGGATGGGAATCAGGATGGTTTTGGGCATCTGAGACTGAGAGTGAAAAAGAAGAAAAGGTACAACACTTCTTTAGAAATGTGTGTACGGGTATGTGTGTCGAGTACACAAACATTGCCCCTGCAGGGGAAACCAGCCTTCTGTGTAATCCTGTTAGAACGACGCCCACACATTCACAATCTCTACAGTCTCTCCACTGCCAAAAATCAAACATTCTGCCAGGCTAAGCTCCATCATTATACACAAGCCACTGACTACAGAGAGCATTACCATTGAGAGCCCATTACTGCTGAGCTTGAGGGTACTTATTTTGAGTATGGTGTAATGTAAGAGCTCTTTCTCAATCTTTTCTTCATGCTCTCATGATCTTCTCCATTATGGTTTTGGATAGCCAGACTTTTGCCTTTTTTCCTTTCTCTGTTTGTCGCATTACTCAAAAACGAGTCCTCTTGGTTTTTGAGATGTATTGACAAAATCATTAAAGGGATACTCCACCCCAAAATGAAAATTTTGTCATTAATCACTTACCCCCATGTTGTTCCAAACCCGTAAAAGCTTTGTTCGTCTTCGGAACACAATTTAAAGATATTTTGGATGAAAACTGGGAGGCTTGTGACTGTCCGATTGACTGCCAAGTAAATTACACTGTCAAAGTCCAGAAAAGTATGAAAGACATCGTCAAAATTGTCCATCTGCCATCAGTGATTCAATCTGAATTTCATGAAGCGACGAGAATACTTTTTGTGTGCAAAGAAAACAAA